TCGTTGATATCATTCAGTCGATCCTCGTCGGATGGAATACAAAGACAGCCACCGTTTCCGAGCGTTAAAAGCATACTGTCGATGCTGACGTCGAATGCGTAGGATGCAAAATCAAGGACCCTGGACTCTGGGGTGTACCCAACTGCCTTCGCTCGAGGAATAGCACTGCTCGTGTAGGTTTCGTGGGAAATCTTCACTCCCTTTGGAGTGCCAGTGCTGCCAGAGGTGAAGATGATGTACATAAGGGCGGAGGATGGCACAACGGGTAAATCAAAGATTGCTGGGGAGTTTGATGGGTTCGTGAAAGCATCTTCTTCAACGACAAAGTGGTTTCCAGTTGGCATAATCGTCAAAGACAGCTCATGTTGCTTGCGGGACGAAACCATCGACTTTGCGCCGACCTGTACCGCCATATTTTGAAGACGGGCAAGGGGAAGAGTTGGATCCATAAGCGCAAGGGTTGCGCCTACTTTCATTACTCCGAGTACAGCAACAATCGTCCATCTGGACTTCTCGAAGCACACAGGGACGACATCGTGCAGCTCGACGCCCATTTCTTTGAGCGAGCACGCCACAGAGGTGGACCAATGATCAATTTGGCTATAGGTCAGGCTTCCATCCCAAGAATCAATGGCGACTTTGTTTGGGTATTCACAAGCTCTTTCGGCGACCATCTCTTGCATGCAAAAGCTGTAGGTGGGAGGCAATGCGTGGTTCCACCCCCATATGTCGTCCAGGTCACTTGTAGTCGGGCGAAGGCACTGTTCAATGGTCGCTTCGGGATTTGTGAGGCATATTCTGATAGTGTCGGCAAGTGCCTCGACATGATGATTCACTGTGTATGGCAGCATGTTCTCGGTGTGCCACAATGGGCGGATCTCGAGGTGGGCATTATTGAAGCGAACTTCGAGATGAAGTATCCCCTTTTCAATTATGTTTAGTTATGCTTGAGTGGCTAGGGAATTGATTGTTCACTTACTTCATCTTTTGCTTCTTCGGATGTTTGCGACAGAGAGCTGGTGCTCAAAAGGAGCGATGCGGGACTCGACGCTCTCGTACTGATATTCCTAGAGATCGCAGATGCGACTTCTCCCACATTACTTTGTAATCCTTTCATTACTTCATTCATGAGTAGTTTGTTCACCGACTCGGGCTCGGTGCCATTTGCGGAATCTTTGCGGGACCAGTCGTATGATATTTGGCTGTCTTCCCGGCTGCGCAATAGCACCATGAGCCAGGACAACAGCACGATCTCTTCCTTCATTCCGGTCGGGGTGGTGATCTGTTCAGAGGCAAGATGCGCCATGTGAAATGAGCTGAATTCGCCATTCGCGCCTGTCGGCACTTTCTGAATTCCATTTGGCGCATTGTGAAGATTGGCATCTTCAAGAGGTATAAAGCCCATTATGACGGCAGACCAGCACAGCTGGTCTTAGTACCCTCAAGGTGATGTGAGGAAGGAATTGGAGCTTGGCTATTAAATTTGGAGCCTTTGGGTCTTGACGGAAGTGTGTCACTATATAGCCAACTAGCGGTTCTGTTGCATCATGCTCCACAAGGCTTGAAAGTTCCGAAGTATCATGACTGTACCCAGGTATTTTGCATATCATCACCGAGATCGGCTATTGCGGGGTGGATTATTCGACACTATCCCGTTCTGAAAGGCCAAATGATACTTGAAGCATGTGGCCGTTTCATCTTTCCTGAATTGAACACATACCTGTATGCGATTACAGATCTCGAAGCTATACACAATACTGTATGGTAACATCTCCACGGGCTCCACATGAAAGAAAATGATGGAAAAATGCAAAAAATAAAGAAAATTTGCGCCAAGATCGGCTTAATGGATGAAGACATCCGGTTCAGTTAGTTCATTTCTCATCGAGACAGAAATGAAAAGAACATGTTGTAAAGCAGCATGAACATGACCAACCTATTCTGTAAAACACATCAAAACTCCAAATTGAAAAAGAGGTATTCGCCGAGGTTTCGGAAGTCAGCAGAGGACCCACGATTGTGCGTCTCAAGCGGAAACCCCCGATAGAAGCGAGGGACGAGGGAACCCTGGAGACAGTGTGATAATTTTATCAATCCGAGACCCACCTTTGGCATCGCACGCACACGCATGTGTCGTGTACACTTCTCGATAGTGTACAATATATTAATTCGAATGCAAGTATCCATAGAAATAAATAATAATATCTACTTGGGTCCTGGCGTAACAAGCATGTAAGAATAAAAAAGCAGTAGAAAAAGGCCTCATTCTGTAGACTCTGTTGTGCACGCACGTTCCTTGATTGATTTCTTGGCTCGCTTGTAGAGGGATTTATATGGATTCTTCCAAACGCCACGAAATGGCTTCTATGCTCTGATAATGACTGCAACGTTGCATACATACTTTGGTCTTGGTTTTCGCAATGCATGAAACGAGCCTCTTCAGGCAAAGATCTTCAATATAAATCCGAGTGGCCAAGAATTTCTGCGCATCTCAGAAAAGTCTTGCATGTAGATGCAGGTCTTGACGAATTTACTCCCACCCACAACATTATGTAGAGTTTTCCAAGGGGGGCTAATCTAATCAGATTCTCCTGTTTCCAGCCAATGAATCTAATCAGATCTGTTGATCTTACCTAGAATAGCTAGCTCCAACTAGCCTGCATTGTAACCACAGCTTTTGTCTCAACGGCGGAGTTTGATTGGTCTATCTTTATTTCCCGAAGCTTCAGTAATTCTTGGCAGTACTAGCCGAGACAGTACTTTGATCGTTGTACGTATTTACCGTTAAGATAACATCCGTACAAAACCTTTTCTGTAACATACAGGTATTTTATGTTACATAGCATTACCTGAACGGGTATGTATACTGAAATACTTGATTCGAGACATCCATATAATTTCCTCAAATTTCCTACCCTTTTCTCTTTGACCTTGGCACTACACAAACCCATGGATATGAGACTTGTTACCTAATATTTCGGCTTGCCTCGGTTTAATCAGATTGATAAGATGGCCTGAAACAGTTCACCCTGTGGATCGAGTCATTCGGTTCACAGTTAACCGACAAATTTGTCTTCCGTCATTGCGGAAAGACACAAAGCCGGTCTCGGCAAATTGTTCGATTAAAGAAAAGACCCCATCCCAGAGGCCCTCTAGCTCCTAGAAAGTTTTCCCCTTCAATTGACACCTACGCACTACCCCACCACACACGAACACCCACATTCACCGACATGTCTAAGTTCTGGCCTAAGGGAGGCCTTCCCGGTATCCTGCACCACTACGTACGTTTCTCCATAGCTGTCAATTATAACACCCGGATCGCAACTAACCCTTAATTGCGCAATGTGTAGACCGAAACCCTCGTCGCATTCGAATATGCGTCCAGCACCGTACGCCAACCGCACAGTCTCCTCTTCGTAGGAGGACTCGGCGATGGCCTCGCAACAACATCCTACATGGCCGATCTTGCGCGCGCATTACAAAACTCAGAATGGTCCCTCTTCACACTAAATCTCACATCCTCCTACCAATCATGGGGCGTTGGGCATCTCGACCGTGATACAAATGAGATCGCCCAATGTCTGGAGTACATCAAAAGCTACAAGGCTGAAAAATTCGGCGGTGGCAAGATCGCGATGATGGGCCATTCCACGGGCAGCCAGTGTGTCCTGCACTACCTGTCCCAATCAAACCCACACACAAAGATTCCAGCCTTCGACGCTGGCATCGAACATATTACGCGCCCGGTGTTAGACGGTGCAATCATGCAAGCGCCTGTTTCTGATCGTGAGGCGATCTTCTGCGTCTTGAAATGGGGAATTGGAGATACGACGCCTGAGAAGGCTCGTCTTGTATATGATGAGATGGAGGCGCTGGCGAAGGCGGCTGTTGCTGAGGGAAAGCCACATGATACCATGCTTCCTCTTCACTTGACTTCAATGATTTATCCCGCCAATACCCCGATTAGCTGTCGGAGATTCTTAAGTCTTGTTAGTCCCGAGAGTCCCCAATCGCCTGGAGAGGATGATTTGTTCAGCTCGGATCTGAGCGATGAGCACCTTAGCACTACCTTTGGTATGATTCAGGAGCGGGGCCTGTTGAATCACAAGCTCATGGTGTTGATCTCTGGGAAGGATCAATCAATTCCCGATTGGGTTGATAAGGACAAGATGCTGGCTAGGTGGCAGAAGGCTACCGACCATGACGGCAAATATCAAATTTGGGATGAGAAGCACACTGGTGTTATTCCTAATGCTTCTCATGCTTTGAGTAATGATGACCAAGCTGAGCCCCGGAAGTGGCTTGTCGAGAGGGTCTTGGGATACCTCAAGACGGCAGTGGAAAAAGCTTGAACAAATCGCAATGATAAATGTAAGATTCTAGATTAGATGAACCAAATACATATACCATTTGACATACTTTTCAATCGCATCCAATGTGTGAGGTAGATAACCCTCCAATAATCGATCTTTAAGATCGAACTACAACCTGTCATTGTCCGTAATATTCGATAGTTTGTACCGCAATATGGCTTGAACGGGACTTATTTACTTACGAGCATGAAGAATATATATTACCCTAACTCTACCCCGAAGCCACTTGCGAACAGAGAAAATCCTACGCTTTATTTGGGTAACCTACAAGGGATGAACGGCTGGTTTCACGAGTGGTGTATTCAATGAGATTGGGAGAATAGGATACATAGTTTGAAATTGAAAATCCAGCTCAGAAGTGTTTATCACAAAAAGGAAAAGAAAGAAAAAGATCGAAAGTAGACATGGGACGCTCAAATGCACCGAGTGGTATCTAGTCGTCACAGCAGAAATGATAGGAAAGCCCAGAGAGGGAAGATGGGACAGAGAAGAGAAGAAAAGGCCCGGAAAAGGGTGTTTAGGGAATGGTGGGTAGAGCAGGTGTAGGTAAATGAGAAATCAAGGGAATAAGAAGAGCCTATGTCAAGGCATGGTGAATGGTATAGAGAGTGGGAAGGGAAGACAAGTTTAAAACATGCCTCCATCAACGGGGATAGCAGGAGGCGGGTACTGAGGAACAGCCGGCGGAGAAACAGGCATGGATCCCTGGCGTGCACGCCCGTTCAGGTTACCGCCCTCGCTTGAAGTCTTGCGGAGACGGTTGCGCGAGCGCGGACGTTTTTCATCATCTAGAAAGCCGCTTTGTTCTTCCACGGCGGTCGGGGCGGGAGAAGAGACCCGTGACAAGTCGTTCTTGTCGCTTTTGTCACTCTTAAAGGCACCCAAAATGGTTTGGGTGGCGGTTCCGCGACGACGGCGGGGGTTCATAGGTGGCACTGGAGGTGCACTACTGGGTGAAGGCAGTGCAGATCCGGGTGGGAGACCGACGAGAGGGACATCTGATGTGGATGAGACAAAAGTAGGCTCAGAGATCTGCTTCTTGTTCACAGGGCGCTTCAAGAGGGAGCCGTGCCCCAAGCCACGTTGAGGAATCTGTGAGCTGCTGGAAGCAGAAGCCAGGGATGTAGATGAGTTGTATTCCGGCATTTCATTCAGCGGAGGAGTGGCATTAGCAGAATAGGCCGGGGCAGCGGGTGGAGCCCGGGGCGAGGCACCGATGATCGAGGACGTGTTGGACTGCGAGAACTGGAATGGCCGTTCGTATTGGAAGCCGGGCGTGCCGGATCGGCTGGTACTGCGGCGTCTGCCTGAAGCGGTCGAAGAAGTGCGGTCGAAGTTCATAGAGTCAGACATTTCTGCTGATGGGCGACTCGATGTAGGGCGCGAGACAGGCATAGGAGGCTCATAGCCCTCAGGAACAACGAATTTCTCATGTGCAATGATCGAACCCTCGTCTACGGTTTCAAGGTCATCCCGTTCCCGAAGTCTGGTTCGACTCTTGGACCGGCCTGATGCATCAGAGCCTGCACGATCTCTATGGTCTCGAAAAGGTGAGTGACCACGGCTGCGGCTAGACTCGCGCGAGTCTTCATAACTGTTGTCACGGCTTATGGATGGCATACGAGATCTAAGCGAACGCTCTGATCCAATATGAGGAGAGCTGGAGTTGGAGTGCCGGCCAAAGTTGAAGGAGGGCCTCTCCTCCTCACGCCACGACTCATCTGAAGAGAGAGCAGGTGTGGACGAATTGCCACCGACATAACCAAACAGCTTCTTCTGATCCGGCTTTCCGCCAACCTGTTTACTAGACTTTTGCTTCAATATGGCAAATGCATTACCAGCCCGGGACAAGTCTGGAGTTGACCGGCCCGGGGTGGGGCTGCTGGATCGACTTTCGTTCTCAGCAACACTTCGCAGCTTCTCCTGCACCTTTCTACGCCTCTCTGCCAGCTCAATGGCAAATTCCTCTCGCTCCTTTTGGGTCTCTGTGCTCCCGTGACGACGATGATGAAGTTCTAATTCCTCCCTCCAGGAAGAGCCAATTGATACAGAAGCTATGTCGGGAATAGTTCCAGGTGCGGAGGATTCTTGGCTGTTTCGAGAGTCTGTACCCTCCGCCGAATGTCTAGAAGGAGACTGCGAGTTCGTGGTACCTGAGCGTGTTTCTGACGATGGCTGACTCTCTTCGGGGGGTTGTGCTACCATGGGAAGAGCGTTCGGTGGCTGGGGAGTGGATTTCTGGGCCGCGGTCATAGGAAGATAGCTATCATTTTGGCGGGGGGATGGAGGAGGGAAAATGGAAGATCTGTCACTCTCCTGGCGCAGGTGAGATCGAACCATTCCCCCCATTCCGCTAAAGCCTTGGTCAGGCTGCAGGGTTGGCGAGTCAGGCCTCTTGGGTGTGTTATCGGTGGTTTCAGGGGATGAGATTGTGAAGTCAAGGTCGTTCTCGTTGATTGCCTTAAGATCGGAGTATCTCACTTCGGGGAGCGTTTCGAGGTGTTCCTTCGTGGGTGTTGATGACTTGTTAGATGCTACGCTCGGATGCTGAAGCGGCGGGCCGTACTCGCTGGCCAGCGCAGGCGCAGATGGGTTTTCGCGCGAAGAGCGACTCTCTCCTTCATCGCCAGACTCGCTAGCGCTCGAGTTGGCATAGAAAGTCCTCACCCCAGGTCTGAAAGGAGAAGCCTCAACGCTGGACGAATGATCGATGCCACGATGCGCATCACTACTATAGTGAGACGATGCGGACTCTGCTCGGGAACGATAGCTGGACTTGGATAGTCCCCGAGCACGGACTACGGGTTCTGCAGGCAGAGGTCGACGCGGAGGTGATGCACGGCGCGGAGGCGGAGTCTCTCGTCCTTGGTGCATCTGAAGTTGGCGGCGGGAAAATGCCTGCTCGTCGAAACCTGTGGTAGGCCGGTTGAACAAGCCCATGGCAGTAGCCTTTCCATGATCTTCTGGGTGAAGTGAGGCGGCCAAGAGCGAGGAGACCTCGTCGTTCTCGCTTGTGGGTGGGCTCAGGGGAGGGGCCCCAAAAGTTGCTGCTGTGGGCGAGAGACGGTCCCCGAGTGCAGCCTCCCCAGACATGCGTGGCTTCGGTGACGTTGCTGACGAAGGGGGACTAGTGGGGTGTGAGGTAGAAGGCGGCTCAACAATTGCAAGCTTTTGCAGGCGGCCCCGCAAGTTAGTGGCACTTTTGGAGTAGTTGCGGTTCAAAGAGGGGAGGTCTGGCGTGCCGGCTCGCTGGCGACTCAGACTCTCCAGGCGGTTCAAGGTCGAGTTTTGCTGGTTCTGAGCAGCCTGGGTCAATCCTTGTCCATACAGACGACGATTACGGATTGAACCATTGCGCGGGGTAGACGTTGGGGGACCGGTTCGAGGGGCCTCGGGATGGGTTTCCGGGAACGGATAACCAGTCATTGGTGACTGGGATGTATTCAACGGTGACTCGTCGACCGAGGTTGCTGCAGTTGAGGCGGGAACTGTTGACAGAGGTCCAGATGCGGTGGAGGAGTATGTGGCCCGGCTATTAGATGAAGCAGTTGAGGTGGCATATCCAGATTCCCGGGCAGCCTCCGCCGTCTTCTCTTCCTTCTCTTTGAGGCGCAACCGCTGAAAAGCAGACAAATTCATATCGTGGTCATATACCGCTTTTCCCATGGTCCGTTGACCACTCTCTGGCGCATCGGGGGTTGTTCCGACTGGCGATCTAACCGGGATCTTGTAAATCTTCTGGCGACCTCCAAACAGATTATTGCCCTCAGCGCGACGGGCTCTGCTCATAATACTGCCCCCTTGGGATCGGTCATCGTCTGTACCGTATCCATCCCCACCGGAAGCGAAAGAACCAGAGCGGTCGAGTGCAAGGGAGGGTCGGCCACCGTCGTTGGAGCAAACCTCGTCAATATCTGCCAGCATTGCGGGGTTGTGGCCAAATAAATTGAGTCGAGAAGCGCGCTTAGGAAACAACACGCTATCGTCACTGGCCTTGCCCAGCATTGATGATGGGTCATCCTGTTCCTTCAGCATGCTAAATCGAGCGGACAATTTGGGCATTAGCAGACTGGTGCGAAAGTTGTCTGTCGAGGGCAATGCGGCTGATAGGTCAAAATCTGGGGTAGGTTCCGGTGACTCCTTTTTCTTCGATGGCTTCAGACTGAATCCTGATGAAGCCCCTTCTTGATCCTCCACGGGCTCCTTCGCCTTCTTGTGTTTGCGGAATCGATTCATCATGGATGGTAAGTTTGAAGCGCTCAGGGGTCTTGTAGTAGGAAAGAAATGAATGCGATTAGGATTGATTAGAACGAATGTCGATGTATCCAGTGAGTGTGTAGTAGTAGCTTGAGGGTTGATCGGTGTCTCGGTTTGGCTCAATGCCCTCCAAGTGACTCACTGGATATCCTTATCCAGAGAATGAATTGAGCGGCATGACCTTCCAGTGCAACAAGTGCAGATTGAGATCAGGGAGAGAAATGTCTCCTGACGAATATAGGTGCAAGGAATGCCAAGTTCGAGCCGTGTATTGTGAATGGTCCGGATCCAAGGCCAATCAGAGTGTTTAATGGGGATTGACAGCAGATAGGAAAAAGCAATAAGCTGCTTGGACGAGAAGAAAATCAAAAGAAAAAAAGAATGACTGGGGAAATGGAGGCGAAGAATGCGATGGGAGGGGAGATTTGCAATGGATCCAGAACTGTAACTCCCCAGGGCTCTCTTAGCGGCATACCAGAAAAAAAAAAAAAAGTGAAAGTCAAAAGGATCTAGATGATCGTCCCAAACTGGTGTCCACCAGTCGATCAATTACTCCCATACCTATTTTCTTTATATATCATGAATTAATTCTCAATTCTAAATTGAAGATGTTCTGTTTATTTACTCGGGGCTTTTGGACTATGTTGTATAGTGTCCCCAGGGCAAGGGGCTTCCCGCGACTGTATCCATGGTCCAGTGTAGGTATGGTATGGTACAGCTACTTAAGCGAGCAGTCTAAATCCCTATAGAAATCAAGTACCCATCTCCTAAAATGACTGTAATTCATGACCACCCCTTGCGTAAAATAAAATAAAAAGTCAATGTTCAGGATCACATCCTTCTCTCATTTCCAGGTGGAATTTGGGGCTGAACGCCACTACTGCGGGAGAGGTCGGGCCTGTCGATGTGGCCAATTCCCTTCGGCTGTAAGCCCATGGTGTACGATGGACTCCGTACGTGTTGCTTCCCTCTGAAACCGGGGGACACTCCGGAAAGAAAAACACTCATTCGCTAGGGTAGTTCCGGGGGCCTGGACACGGGAAACACCAAGATCGTCGCCCCATTACTTCATTCCGAGCGGAGCAGGATTTTGATCTGGAAGCTGCTCAGGTGTCCAGGTAGTTCATCCAATCTCTCATATCAGCGCAAAGAGGGTGGAGCCAAACGAATATACCCCAATTCAACTCCTTGCTTTATAGGAAGTTGGCAGCAAGGGAATATCATTGGTCACCATGAGGCAGAACAATATGAGCTAATCAGGCACGCGATGCAATATGGGATAAAGGCAGAGTATGGGAGATTCCTCAAGATCATAATCTGTACGAAGTAATAAGTAGAGCGGTACGGAGTACATTGAAAGTACAGCTTGGTTTGAGAAATGAGCAACACGGCGTTCACATCGTACAGCCACAATATAAGTACGGAGTAACGGAGTATTTGCCCTACAATGGCATCAATAGGCCAGGACCTGGACTCACGAGTACTCCGACACTGCAGGACCTCTGCAGTGTGCAGGACAATGGTAGCATTCGACTCTGCATCTGAGGCGATGTATGGCTTCCGACTTCCTAAATGGTCAGACCCGCAGAAATAGCCTGATCCATGGGATAGCACCCGATAGACTCTGGGTAATCCCCACTTGATCCAGGAATCAAATTTTTTTTATAGAAGTCCATATTAAAGATGAATATCTATGGATTAGAGCTGAGATACAGAGAGAGAGCAGCAAACGCGCCCAAAGCCCAGAACGGTTGAGGGGGAAAAGAGCAAACTCATCTAGCGTATCTCCCAGTCTTAGCTGGTAGGCTTGACAGCCGTTTGGGACCCGCCTACAAGCTTTTGAAACTTCCGAGACTAGAAATCGTTAGGCTTATATTATGTAGCCAAAAAATAAAAAGGAAGTGCCCCTGACTAGTCCCAATGCGGATAGTAATTTAACGCCCCGGCTCCGGGGTTCTTTTTTTGTTGCGCAATGGAAGACCTTGAAAATCCAAGTTTTGCAACATGGGCACTATAAACTTGAGATCTAGAATGCTTTGATTGGATGTCATAAGCCCCCAGATATCTACCTATATTGTACGGATCAACCTTGGAAAGGCATTTACAGGGAATGATCCAATCGGGGCTTAATCAAACCCTCCGGGCCAATCCTCGTGGCCAAAATATTGGGATTTTTTTTTTTAAAAAAAAAAAAAAATTGAAAATGAAAATCTCCGACATTGGACATGTCACTTATTCTAAATGCCCTAAATAAAATGTGCCATACTCCGTATATTACCAAATAACTACCGGTAATGTGTTGTCACCTTGCATTGATCTATGCTTGGTAAGTGCACAGAAGCCAGAAAAATGAGGTATTCGATATTCATGATCAGCTCGAAGTCCAGGAACCGATCGCAAATATTAATATCCGAAGTATGAGCCAAAGTTCCAGGAAGTTCCACTGATATGGCACAACAAGCCGGTGGAAGCTCAACAATAAGAGAAAAAGAAAGAACATACTAATTGGAGCCCCTGTCGGGGATGAGGGGTTGAGACTGGGGCCCTCTCGATATATCGTGTGGCCAAGATGGATCCCGCCCATTGCTCTACAATCATTTAGCCTCGGGTATTCGGGTCACTATACGACGTACAGGATACATCATTTCCGGGCGGAGGGTTGTGCCTACGGGGTACTCCGTATACAAAGTAGACTGAGATGGTGCTATTTAACTCCGCCCTCGAAGGTCAAAAGGGCAGCACTACGAAGTGGAGTCGGCAGTTGTGTTTGGCTGTGCTCAATCCGTTAATTAAAGAAAACTTTCTTGGCGTCGGTGGGATTTTGGGATTAATTTACTTCAGACGGGGCGTTGGATTCTAGAACACACGAGGAACTGGACGTATTGGCTTAGCCTGTGATATCTCGTAAGCCCTAATCACTACAACCTAGGCGTGTAGATGTACCGAGTATTGCCGTCATCGTTGGCCAAGGGATCCAGGTAAACATATATGATACTCTGGGGCTTGGGAAATTTACCTACAAACGAACTTACGACAATTTAAAGATAGACTGAGAGAGAATAGTATCTCATACTCTGCTTGGATAGAATCATGCAAGATGTACTATTGACAAAAAAAAAAAAAAAAAAAAACTGCACGCTCGCTCAACTCTCCATCAAACAGGGACCACATTACCACACCAAGCCCAGATGATTCATAAGAGGGAGCAGGACAAGAAAAGAGAAAAGGGAGAAGAATATAGAAGACAGGGGAGAAAGGAGGCTCCTTTTCATTCATACATGATCCCACCCAATCTAGAAGGGGCAAGCAAAAAAAAACACAAAAAGGAAAGGTCGTCTGCTCATAGCGCAACTGCAATAAAAAGGTCGAATTCTCAAACCAGAATCCTTCCGTCCGGTTACTTACTGGCTTCCCAGCCCACCCAGCTACGGGGCATCACTCGCCAGACCTTGCATTCACCACTGCGAAGGTCGTTCAGCTTAAAGCTCTCCATTTTGACCTTCTTACTCTCGCGGCCTTGCTCCCAGGCTCGGATCTTCTTCTTTGTGCCATCCCAGTCGACCACGATGCCAACGTGGTCAGGCTTTCCAACCTCGGCGCTGTACTTCTGATGCATGGTACCGCGGTGGCCCTGGAATCGGGCATTGCGGAAGCTGACAATGTCACCGGCGCGGATTTCGTCGTTCTGAGATACGGAGGCATTGGCCAGATTGGAATAAACTGAGGCACCGTATCCACGGGTACCCACGGGAAGCAACGCGTTAGGAAGAGGATTGAGTAGGTACTGCACTAGCCCGAACGGAGTGCCGTCTCCAACAGTAGAGTTTTGGATCGAGTTGACAGCCTCAGAGATTCGCGTACCTAGCTGAATATGAGCCTGTTCGAGTTGGTCCTGGCGAAGCGGGAGCGGCGGGGGTTCATGACGCTGTTCGAAAGAAGCATCCGCGGGGTTCTTGGGGTCAAATTGAACATTCAAAATTGTCTGGGAGTAATCGAGGAACAGGATATAAACATCCCTCGAGACTGTCGTTTTGCCGCCACGGTTGGTGGACGCAGTCTCCTCGACCTCGAAAAGTAGATCATTGCGATTCTGGAACGCTGGAGGCGGGGTGTTGGGTTTAGTCCACCAGAGGGTATACGTGGCGAAATCAACATCGGTAGCGATGTAACCTTGGTCAATAGATGGGCGAGCAACATCCATAGACCGACGAACGTTGGGCTGATTTCTGAGAAGATCCATGGATGCGCGCTGAGTTCGGGCTGCGGACGGAGATGGCAAACCCGAAGCTTGGCTTTGGGAAGGCAGAGGCGCCAATGAGAGACGTTTCTCATGCAAGGGAGAGGGTCTTTCTTTGGCCGGGCTCTGCACAGGGGGTGCATCATAAAGATCGTCGTATTCATCAGCCCCTTGTTGCGGTGGGAAAGGAGGAGGAGCCTCTGGGCGACCGAGCGGGAGGGGCGGAGATGTGGGGAGACCATGTCGGGGAGCGGAGTAGTTGAAAGGGTCATACTCAACATCATCATCGCTTGGATCTCTGGGCGGAGGGGGAGGAGGCGGTCCCCTAGGTGTGTCAATAGACGCACGGGTATTCCGGGGCGGCTGATTTGGAGGTGGAGGCGGAACTGCCCTGGGAGCCGTGGGCGGAGGTGGGGGATGCCGGGCTTCTTGGGGGCTGCGCGGTGACTGAATGGAATGGTCGTCGGTGGTGATGCCCTCGTCAAAGCTGGAGTCACGTTCGTGAGCTTTCAGAGCATCCTTGTGTTTCACTCCCGACGCGATATCAGTGTCGTAATCTCCATCATATTCAGTCACCTCTCCTTCCGCTTCTTCTCCAGCCTGTCGAGGGGATGATGCACTCATGCGACTATCAGCGGTAGATCGGCGACGGAGCTGATCTGGGGGGTGGGGGCGGGGGAGCGCGACCCTGCGATGATGGTGGCATGGGTGGATTGACTGGAATGGGAGGTGGTAGACGACAAGCTCTCTTTTCGGCCGCAGGGGTGGAAACGGGAGAGGACAGAGTGTCATAAGTTTCGGGACGGCGAGAGTCAATCTGATCAGGTATCGCAGGTGCAGGCACGGCGGGTGGGACAGCCGACGTATTCAAAGATAGACTAGATGTGTTCACCGACAATTCATCATCAGACTCGTCACCTTTGTCGGCAGTTGTCGGCCGTGGTGGAGGAGGAACTGGTCGCCCTGTATCTCATCGTTAACTCACGTCAAGTAGATTGTTTCAGGGTCTTGGTACTTACCACCAGGAACTGGCGGAGGTGAAGCCGGTGGCTCTCCCGGGACAGTCGGGACTGGTCGTGACTCTCGAGGAGGCGGGGGGAGGTGCCGAACGATCTGCAAATGTCAGGAAGTGAAACAATATATTAGACTGCTGAATGGCATATCTTACCTTGGGATGGGGACGCCGGGACCGGACGATCAATAGAGGCGCGAGGCAGTGCACCTTCATGAATGACCTCCTCGACGTCTGGAACCTCGCGTGAGGAGTGTTGTTGCACGAGAGGGGTGGCCAAAGGCTCATCCTCTTCCTTCTCCACTTCAGCAGAAGAAGGCACCGGCTTGCTAGCGACATTCATTCCAGGAAGGGGAATCATAGGAACTGGGGGTGCATTGGCAGGCGAAGCGGACTCAGATTCGAGCTCTCCAAGCCTCTTCTCTGACTCGCCGGGAGTCTTAGGCTTGCGAGCACCACCGGCACCAGGCATGCCTGGCACACCCCCGGCAGGCGGGCCGAAGAGACCCATCATACCCATGCCGCCGCTCATCTTGGCCATTCGCTCACGCAGTTCCATTCTGCGCTTCGTTTCAGGATCCATCTCCTCCTCTTCCTCTTCTTCTGCTTCGCCCTCGTCTTCAACATCTGCCTCGGCAGTTTGGTCGACTGTGCGAGTCGACTTCTGACGCTGGGCGACGGGGCGAGGCTTAGGCTGATCCTCCTCATCATCCTTACTGGTGGATGTTTCACCTGCATCCTCGGAGTCTGCGGCTGCGGAGTAGTCGGCATCATTGGCATCACTCGCGATTTCTTGAGTGGGCGAGAACGGGGCAACAGGCTGCGGAGGTGGGGCTGCAGCTCTCAGTGTATCAACACTAGAATTTCGGACAGCTGATGTTTCTTCGACAGAGGGTGTATCTTGTTCCTCGTCGGGTACTGCAGGAGCCACAGGTTCATCCATTGACTTCTTAGGAGCAGGGCGGGGGGCTTTTCTTTCTTCTGAGCTGCTTCGGCATGACGCTGAGCTTGCTCTAATTGCTGCTTCTGGAGCAACGCAATTCGGTCTTTCAGACTAGTTGGCTTGGGCTGGTCCTCCGCGACATCTTCACCGCCTTCAACGGGAGCAGGCCGGCTTTCAGAAACCGGGGGCTCGCGGGCAATTTGTTCCTTCACATCAGGATCTTCTTCTCTTCTGTAGATCTTGGGTGCAGGTTCCCTTGGCGGAGGCTTGTAGGCGTCCCGGCTAGGAGGCGGCGCGACGAAAGGCTTCTTGATGAAGGATGGCTGGGAACCGCCCGGTTTGAACGGCGTAACTGGTGCTGCAGCAGGTTTATTGAAGGCAGCAATCCGATCTCTGAACGAGGACCCCGAAGGCTTCTCCGCTACGGCCGAAGGCGCAGGTTTTGAGGGTGCCTTGGCTGCGGATTCGGTTGAGGCCACGGGTGGGGCGGGAGCTGCGGGCGCCTTTGCCGGCTGCGGAGGCGAGGATGCAGCTTCTACTATAGGGGCACTCGCACGTAGAGGAGGGGACTGGGGTAGAGGTGACTGTGGCGAGGCAGTCTCATAATCTTCCTCGGTGGGCCGCACCTCTGGCTCGGGTTCGGGCTCAGCCTGTTTGCTTTCGACCACGGGGGGGTCTCCACTGGCACCGGTTCGGGCTCCTTTTTAGGTCTGGGTCGAGATGGTCTCGGAGGGGCCGGAGGATCATATTTTTCAACGAAGTTCTTCGGGAAGATGCCCTCCTGTTTTCTCCCCTGGGCGTCTGAGTATTCACCGTAGTACCAATCGTCGTCCTCGAGGGCGGTGACGGTCACGATTTGACCGATCGGGAAGTTGAGATCATCATCGTGGCCTGAAGCATACTCGAAGACCGAGCGGACCGTAAAAGGCGGACCTGACATCTGGCAAGTCAAGTCCGAGGTTCAGACGTTGAGATAATCGATGTGGAGTGAGGAATGCCGAATGAGTCTGTGACGCAATGACGCTAGAATATTTGTACAGAGCAATTCGCCAGCTTCAATACGTTTAGCATGCAGCGATATTTAGGGCGAAACGAATCAATTCCTTTGTGGTACGATGGGGTGTCAGCTTAGATGAAACGGACGACGTCAATGAGTGGGTGCCTACGACCAGGAGATGAGGGGGAAGGGAACGGCGGAAGCACTCACGGCGTGGAGAACCGAGCACCCTATCCAGAGCCAACAAATACTTGATGCAAGATGAAAAGAAAAGAACAGGGTCAGAAAGACAGAAAAATGTAGGGGAGATGTAGAAAGGTGGTTGTCACTTGGCGGGATGAGGGAAATGGGCTCCACTAGGCGATCGGCGGCTAACATTCAACCAGGGAACACGCACATGGGGTGAAATGTGTTGAAATTCAAGTTTATATGATATTCTACTGACTTTACATATATGTAGCCTGAATTCTTTTGAACAGAAGTATATTCAGGTAGATAAATATCTGGGTGGCTATATAGAATCGAACTTTGATATATCGAAATATTCGGAACTTGTACCGAGGACATCATACACATATAATATATATGTTCAAGCTACTACATATGTGATTCCAAATAATGTCACTGCCCAAAGCCTACGTCAGCAGTGAAGTGTCTCATATTTGGGGAACCCGGGGGGGAGTTTTGCCTCTTCCGCTTTAGAACCGAATTCTGCTGGTTTTATTTTTTTTTTCTATTTCGTCTCACCTCAAATCAGCCGATTTTCAATTCAAGATCACCTTCCAATATATATTCCGGTGCCTCGGTTCGAAATTATGGCACAGTCAGGTCCAAGTCACGCTCTCAAGACCTCTCTTCCTGAGACATATGCCGCCGTCAATGCCCAGCAACCCCCACCTTCATACAAATACCCTACACAAGAAGAGCAAGACAAATACCTAGAAGGTAGGCCCGGTGCAACCCAGCAGCACCTCGAAGTCGCTCTGGAACACGCGCAGCAGATCCAAACCCAGAAAGACGCCGAAGATGTCATCCTAAACCGCATCCTTGAGCTCCTTGAACTTCCCTCTTCCCCGACAGCCGACCCTGCCGCCCCCTCCCAAGAAGATACCATAAAATTCAAATACGCGCTAGCTCCATTCCGGCCCAGCGACTACGACAATTTAATCCTGGAGCGGAACTTCGAAGACTCGTGCGGGTACACTCTATGCCCTCGCAAGTATCGCAAGCAAGACAGAGGCCCAGGAGGCGGGTTTCAATTTAAATACGGCCCCAAAGGAAGCGGACCAGGGGGGGCGCGGACGCAGTGTCGATATCGTTTCCGAGGATCGCGTCGAAAAGTGGTGCTCAGATGCATGCGCAGAGCGTGCTCTTTGGATCCGCGTGCAGCTTTCCGAGAAGCCTGTATGGGAACGACGGGCAGGTGATACGCGGGGCACGGCTATTCTACTGCTTGAAGAAGCCCGCGCTAAACGCTTGAAGGCCCCGGCGCCTACTAGCAGTGTATCCTCCGTTGTGGATGATTTGCAGAGTATGGGGCTTGGGAACCGCGATCGGTCTCGAGAACTTGCCATGGAACGCGGTGATACCAGCACGATTCGTCCGGATGGACGTGTCAACGTCAATATCAGAGAGAATCAACGTAGTTCTCACCAGGCTCCTGGCGCTCCACAAATGCGCCCCGAGGACGCAAGTGGCGGTGCCATTGAAGGATACGTGCCCAGGGAGCAACAAAGGATGGACCAAGATGGAGACATAGATTTGCTCGATCAGATCTGATCCAGCCAGCTTGCTATGTGGTTGTGGGGGGTTTTTGGCGTTCTACTTTTTTAATACCCGATCAATGTCGACATTGATATTTGAATAATGACTACGCAGAGACCATATGTATGGCTATAGGCCGGGCAGCAGGACTCATCTACACGTACATATAAATATGTAGGTATATAAGTCGAGCATGACGCAGCTCATCCAAGGCCTCGAGTCACTTAGACTGAGGTAATCCTCAGTCCGGGGACTCCTACGTAGTCCAACCCAGAGAGTCAACTCATAGGTGGACACGAAAAGGGAAATTTGGCAATCAAGCGTCATCTCCTTTCGGAGAATCAGCGACACCTTTCTCAAAGAGAATCATGTTTATTCATTCCTCATCCAGGAATAGCCTTCCACGCTAAGCTAAACCATGCTAGCCGGGCGAAAAGCCAGCCAGAACAGACATTGTCGGGGTAACCGCCAAGGGTCGACCGTAGGCCAGGTATGAATTTTTTTTTCGTTATTCCGGGCGCTGGATTTAGCGGGGACCGAAACGGCGGGGACGCTCAGCCTGCTGCTGCTGGCTGACAGCAACAACGTTGACCTTGAGGTTGTCGAACTGTAGAAATATATTAGATGAATCCCGAGGTATCGTCATGTGCAGGCTAAACTTACGCCCATGGACTTGAGAAGGTCCTTGGTGTCGGCATCAACATCGAGCTGGCCGGACTCGGTCTGGGAGACATCGAGAGCGGAGACCTCAGGAACGTACTGATCCTTGCGCTCACGCTCCTCCTCCTGAAGCTTGAAGGAGATACCGCGGACGGGACCACGCTGGATGCGCTTCATCAAGTGGGTGGTGTAACCAGCGATCTAGAAGACATTGCGAATCAGAATTGAAGGTCTCGATTGTTGATTCTGATGCAGGAACTCACCTTGTTGCGAAGACGCTTGGAGGCAATGATGGCGATCTCATCACAGATACGCTTGTTGGTCTCGAAGTCGAGGGTCAACTTGGGGTAGTAACGCTCGATGATGACCTTAGCGGAGCGCTTGACTGTCTTGGTACGGACGCGACCCATTTTGGCGGTTGTTGGCTGGCGGAATGAATGTTCGAAAGATCGAGAATCGTCGTGCCGATTTGGATGAGTTTGAGAGCAGGCTTTCGCTTAGTCCTGTGCGGGTCCTTGCCCTAGGCCCTAACCATCAGATCACGTGGTACATGTCTGGCCCGCGGGCCCGGGGCGTATTCAGAGATTATGTAATCTTGTTTGACATCCTCCCGTGGACCTGTAGACGGGTCCATGCATAAGAAGATATGAAGCAAACACGTTGAAGTATATCTTCAAGTGTAGCTTTACTGTCAACTTATTTGTGTTGTTATTCTTCATTCAGGTGGGAAATATGCAGTTGCAATCGTCGCTGAAAATAACTTGATAATGATGCATCCGATTTATATGACATAGTCAAAAAAGAAAATAAAAGTAGCTTTACACAAGCACCAAATCTATCATACATGGTACAATCCTTTGCACATCCACCCGTACCTCACTCTTCCCTATGACCTAGAGTTGAGGTTATTGAGGAGGCTGCGTGCGACGTCCTCTGTCCCTCTCGTGGGTTGTCTCCGAGGACGGTTCTCCGTGGAAGGCTGGAACCGAGGCTGGCCGAATGACTGTCGGTCCAATCTTGGGACCAGTGGGGAGGGGGCAGTGGCAACGTCGGAGATGGTCAAGGTACTCGGCTTGTGGTGGTCTTCGATTCCGTAAGGGGCCTTGGAGGTTGCACTCGCGCGATAAGATGAAAGGCCAATGCGGCCGTCGGAGTCAATCGAAGCCCGGATGGGAGTAACCCAGTATTTACCTCCACCGGGGATGGACGCATCAAAGAAAGTCAGACCGGGAGGTGTGCCTTGCTCCACAAAGGTCATGGCATTCAGATCTTCGACGGCAATACCACCGATACCTGCGAGAGCCCGAGCCATGCGTCCCTTAAAGCGTCCCTTGGGGCGCAAGATGCGAGCCTCCACGGGGCGCTGGTGGGCCTGTGGGCCAAACTGGGCGTGGTTGTGGATCAGAGCGTGTGATCGTGTGTATGACAGGCCGGCAGACGGGTGTGTCTTTGGGGGCCCTGAGACGGCGTATTCGAATGAGGACAGCTTAGTTCCAGGGGATTGATAGTACTTGCGCCCGATACGCTCGCTGGGAACGGCAGGGGGGAAGCGAGGTCAAGTAGATCAAATACCACAGGACCGAGAGCGAATGGGTCATTACGGAGGGTTTTGATGTAGACATTAAACTCCGCATCGGTGACGGTTGCGGGATGAGCCTCCAAGTCCTCTCCATTATCCTGTGCCAGCTTCCGAATCTCAGCAGACCGCTTAGCAACAAACTGTTCACGAAGCTTCTTTAGGAGCTCAGGCTTATTGCGAGTCACTTGCTTCAAGTACGCTGCAAACTCTGCTTCCGTCTGCCCAGCAAGCCAAGGACCGGTGTGTCTGAATTGTTTAGCACCAGGTTCCTGGAGACCCTGGCTGGTCTCGGTGTTGTCGAGATGTGTCTCGAACGGACTTTGATGCCTTGGCACAACACTTGTAGCATAATTGACTTTGGAGGGGAGGGACATTGGCATGTGCATCTCCTGGAACTTCTCGAGAGTCACAGTGTGATCTGCGGCGGATTCGAAGTCGGTGACATGTTCATACGTATCAAGGGCGTGCAACCTGACCACAGGTCTCGATGATTTCTCCGACGTCGATTTGGCCGGTAAAGGTCGCTTCAATCCCCAATCGCCTCGGGCTAGTGATGATTGCGGTGTAACGATGGAGGCTCGGATGGGGTGAGGCAGAGTTGCAGTGCCGGATTCTCTCGACGTTTGATCCTTAGGGCCATTGAGGGTTTTGGGGAGTGCGAATAAACGCGACTTTCGCAGCAAGTTCGCCGTTGGTGACAGCCTGGCGGAGGCCATCTTGTTTAATGGATTGACTATGTGATCTTGGATAGCTGGCGCAAGAAAAGTTGACCGGAGAACACGGGCCAAAGCGGTACGGTGAATCACAGCCACCCAGCCCGCAGTTTTGTATCTATACAATGTACCTAAGACCCCAGATCAACCTTTGCTATGTATATTACGTATCTGTATAATATATACGACGCAGAATGCGGAAAGTGCTCGATATCTTCTGTTAATTGAAGTTTTTATGACATACGTAGTTGTCAAAGTAATGTTGGATTTGTTTTTCTACAATGTATCCATAATTTCGATCCAGATCTATGAAATGTAAAACATCGAAGACGAGTCCCAGTTCAAACACCAACAGCTAGAAGAGAATCAACGGTGTCTGAAACTGTTTGCTTTAGTGGGCAATAATTGAGTCCAAGGACCTTTTGCGACTTAGTGTTGTCAATCTCATAGATATTTTCCGGAAAGTCGCTGGGAGAATCTGCAGGGGGCAGCGCAGACTCTAACTGGGGGTGAGTCTCGCGAATGATATCTGCAAGTTCCTTGTTTGAGAAGAAGCCGGCGACAACAAAGAATCTCTGGCTGCCTGCTTCGGCAACTTCAATGGCTCTGACATGTGCGAGGGCCACATCACGCACATCCACCCACAGGAAATTGCCCGTTGGGGCAATTTTTTCTTTCATTTGACCCTGGATTAGGTTTCTCATGCGCTGGTTAGAGGTGTTGATGGTCTCAAGAGAGTTAAGATAATGAACGACCGGGCCAAACACCAGTGGTGGATTGATGGTAGCGATATCGAAATTCGGCTTCTCCTTCTCGACAAAGGCCCAAGCTGCTTTCTCCGCGAAGGTCTGTACGACATTGACTTAGCACTTGATAAGTTTGACTGATAACCGAATTTCACCTACCTTGCTACCACGATAAACTTGCGAATGGTCCAACGCCTCCTCCCATGTCAGCGGATTCCATTCTTTCTCACTGTAGACCTTGGGGTGCTGCTTGCCATTCACAATGGCAGCGAAAGATGATGTGATGACCACTCGCTTTACGGTAGGGGCATAATCTCTGATGGCCTTCAAAATACCAGTCGTTCCCTTGATGGCTGGGTCAAGGAAATCTTTCACAGGGTCCTGAACATTAAAATGGAAAGGAGACGCGGTGTGGATAACATAGTCGAAGGGAGGGCTTGATTTGACGGCCTGTTATATTTTCGTTAGCTGTGTATGTAATAGGAGAAGGACCTTCGGTTTACCTCGTCAAATGCACCATCCTTAGCTACATCCTTGACAATTGCATAAGAGAGCTTCTCCTTCGACACGTCGGGGTGGGCCTCGATTATCCGTTTGCCCTTCTCCTCCGATCGAACAGTAACGACTGTATCAAAACTAAAGTAGAATTGTCAATCTTCAATATTTTCAACCAATAATGTGAATGTTCAATGTGGCTGCAACATACCCATGCTGTAGCAGGATGTCCACAATGTGGGCGGCGATGAAGCCACTGCCTCCTAAATAGATAATTAGATTGGAGTTCGAAAGCAGCTCAGTCACATACCAGTCAAAAGAACTTTAACCATTGTAAAAGAAGTTGGAGCTATAGATGAAATATTCGAGAATTGGATAGATGTAAAAGAGCGAGGAGCTTGGCTTTTGTGGTTCCTAAACCCCTCGATCCCGTCATCCCCCGTAAGGGCCTATCACGGCCTAGAAAGCTTGACCGGCGATTATAAATACAAGATCTCACGATGTTCAATGGAGTTAAGGTGCTAATGTTCAATAAAATCCGTATGTCCGGAGAAAAGAGCTCGGGCCTATGGGCACTCTCTTATCTCCTTGCAACACTTTGATCGAGCATTACATGGACCCCTTGTGGCTGTAGAAGATTTATCTAATGTATACCTATCAGCCCAAGTAGAAATCAGGCCGACAAGTGTCTAGGCTGCTTATTGGTCTTGAAATCGATCCGAAATCCGGTTCTGTGAATAGTTTTCTATCTGTCTGATCTGCCTAGGGTTTGTCGATTCAAGAACCGGAAAAGACTGATGTTAGCAGTAACGTCCTCTGTCGAATATGTTCTTCTTTGCTCCCATCACATCGCCTTCTGTTTCAAAAAGCCCGCCTTTCATTTTGACACTCTTAGCAATGCCCTCATATTCGTTAGCTGCTACAGCAAGACTGTTCTGCAGATCTACCCCTAGGATGTGCTAGAATCTTGGTATCAAGTCACTTTGTCCACAAATATCGATCACCCAAATACTTGGCCTAAGTGAAATTATCTATCTACTGAATGGATCTTATCACGGTCATAGATGCAACTTTGAAGCGTTGGAAACAACTGTGCACGTTTAGCCCCATGGAAATCTTCATGGTACAGAACAAACAAAGTCGGCCGCTTATACGGTCTCTTCCAAGGTTTGCCTCGTTCCTTGCCTTATATCTTATACTTGAGATAAGCACTCTAGTGTCTTGACTACCCGTGGACCTAGGTCGGTAGGTATATCTGTTTATATCGATATGCGGCAAAAACATTAGACTACCGGAGTTATCAATGCCACCGAATCCGTTGGGTGACGTATCTGGCGTCGAGGATAATGTAAGTCGATCCTCACATAGACCAGAATTTCAACGTGATTCAATCTCCACGGATTATCTTCAATATACCAAGTCTCAAGATCCAAATAGTACGTAGTGATTACCTATAGAGTGGTTGTAGATGGCCAAGATTGCCAGGGTCGCACGGAGTCGGGAACTCCAAACTGGCCCGTGCACCCCGCGACCTTCTCCAAGCCTCACACATGACCCTCCCATCCAACCTCATGCGCTCTGCGTGTTTTTATTTTATGGCCTAGACATTGTATTCCAATGTCCACCCTGGGGTGTGATTCGCAAATATGGCCCAAGCAGGTGCAATCACAGACGTGACCCAAAGGTTGTTCGTGGAGCTCAAGTCAAAGAATGAGGAGGCCAGGGCCCGAGCTGCCTACGAGCTCTACGATAATGTCCTATCCGTATCTAGAGGTACTACCGGATAGACCCTGAGGCCTCTAACTAGCTGACATATCTTCTTCTGCAGATTGGCCGTCGGAGAAGTTCGTGGAATTTTACAACGCCGTTAGCCAACGTATCGCCCAACTCGTGGTCAACGGCAGCGATGCAAACGAAAGAATCGGTGGCTTGTTAGCACTTGATCGACTCATTGACTTTGACGGTGTTGATGCGGCTCAGAAAACAACGAGATTTGCCAGCTACTTGCGCAGCGCCCTTCGCAGCAATGATAACGTGGTCTTGGTGTATGCGGCCCGATCGCTGGGCCGCCTCGCGAAGACCCGGCGGGGCCTTGACTGCAGAACTGGTCGAAAGCGAAATACAATCCGCATTAGAATGGTTACAATCCGAGCGTCAGGAAAGTCGGCGTTTTGCAGCAGTGCTTGTGATCAGGGAACTGGCCAAGGGCTCACCAACACTCCTCTACGGCTTCGTTCCCCAGGTCTTTGAGCTTGTCTGGGTTGCCCTTCGAGACCCCAAAGTCCTCATCCGTGAGACTGCTGCCGAGGCCGTTGGTGAATGCTTTGAAATAATCGTGGCTCGTGATTCTCAAGTCCGTCAATCATGGTTTGCACGGATATACGATGAAGCACTCCTGGGCTTGAAGTCTCATAACATTGATCATATCCATGGCTCTATCTTAATCATCAAAGAGTTGATTTTGAAGGGCACAATGTTCATGAAGGAACATTATCGCAATGCTTGCGAAATCATTCTTCGTCTTAAGGACCACCGTGACCCAAAGATTCGCACTGAAGTTGTCCTCACAATTCCCATCCTTGCCTCATATGCCCCCACCGATTTCATTGAGATATATCTACACAAATTCATGGTCTATCTCCAGGCGCAACTCAAGAGAGACAAAGAGAGGAACGCCGCCTTCATTGCCATTGGAAAGATTGCCAATGCAGTGGGCACCGCTATCAGCCAATATCTCGATGGTATCATTATCTACATTCGAGAGGGACTTGCGATGAAGGCGAGGAATCGATCGGGAGTCAATGAAGCACCGATGTTTGAATGCATAAGCATGCTGTCCCTCGCAGTGGGACAGGCGCTCAGCAAATATATGGAGGCCCTTCTGGATCCCATTTTTGCCTGTGGGCTGAGCAAATCATTAACACAGGCTTTGGTCGACATGGCCCATTACATTCCTCCCATCAAACCTATGATCCAGGAAAAACTTCTTGATATGCTGAGTATTATCCTTTGTGGAACGCCATTCCGTCCCCTCGGTTGTCCCGAAAACCGACTTCCTCCTATGCCATCATTTGCAAAAGACTTTGCACCCCATGAACTTCACTCTGATTCCGATATTGCATTGGCACTTCACACGTTGGGCAGCTTTGACTTCTCTGGGCACATACTGAACGAGTTTGTGCGAGATGTCGCTATCAACTACGTGGAAAATGATAACCCGGAGATTCGAAAAGCGTCAGCTCTTACATGCTGTCAACTTTTCGTTCACGATCCGATCATCAACCAAACCAGCGGGCACTCTATTCAAGTTGTCAGTGAGGTTATTGATAAGCTCTTGACTGTGGGCATTGGAGACCCTGACCCTGAAATCCGACGCACCGTTTTGTGGTCGTTGGACCGCAAATTCGATCGTCATTTGGCACGACCAGAGAATATTCGATGTTTGTTCTTAGCAGTCAATGATGAGGTCTTTGATGTCAAAGAAGCCGCGATCTGCATTATCGGCCGACTCTCCAGCGTTAACCCTGCTTATGTCTTCCCGCCACTACGAAAACTGCTGGTCAATCTTCTCACTGGCCTTGGCTTCGCGAATACCGCCCGCCAAAAGGAGGAAACAGCTCAACTCATCAGCTTGTTTGTCTCTAATGCGACGAAATTGATCAGGTCCTATGTTGATCCCATGGTGACCGCATTGTTGCCTAAATCAACAGACATCAATCCAGGCGTTGCTGCCACTACCTTGAAGGCTGTCGGTGAGCTCGC